GTGTGTGTGTGTGTGTGTGTGTGTGTGTGTGTGTGTGTGTGTGTGTGTGTGTGAGTTCCTTTTTCTGTCAGTTAGCAAAAAAAAAATCCCATGAAACATTGAACATATTTTAATGAATCTCTCACAAAGTAATAATTCGGTGTACATTTTCAAATCATTAACATTTGATTCAATATGGCCGTCACAACTAACTGACCTTAACAATCTCAGTCATTTTATTTACAGATATTGTTTAGCTTTGTGTGGTAGTAGCTGAAAATCATTCCCATCACATACAGTTAACAGACTGCATTGTATTTGTTTTAGGGCTGCACGATTTTAGGAAAACCTGCAATGTGCAATCATATTGTGATGACAATATGACTTGCAATAAATTAACAAAATTAAGTATGCAGTTGATGTCTCTCTGCTGATGTCTTTATGAAAAACCAACAACTAATAATAAATCATTTCTATTCCAACATTTTTTATTTTAAAATATGCAACTAGGCACAGCTGCAAATTGTCCTCGTAAATATTTTCTGATGCTGAAAAACTCCTCTATCAGGTTCTTTAAAATAAATTATTTTAAAAATCTTCAGAGATGTCATGTTGTTGTTTTTAACCACAAGTTCTTTGTCGCTAACATTTTTCTCACTTCTCTTGCTCTCAGCCATTGTGACTCACTAAGCTTGCTCAGTTGTTTGCTAGTATACAACCACCACGTCTATATAGTGAGCAAATGCAAGCATTTGAGTCAACCATTTATTGCAGTTTAGGCAGTTTTTGGCATTATGTCAATTATTATCACGATGATAAATTTTTGATATATTGTGCAACCCTAATTTTAATGCTAGTTTCATTGTGAATGTATATTTTAGTCATTGGAACCCATTATGGTCCCTCGTTGTGTTTAAATGCTGCTTTATGTAATTAAATTAATATTTTGTATCACTGCGCTTTTAACAGTCAACCTAATGTTTGCAATTTCTAATAATTAGACACATTTTTTTGAAAAGCCTCAATAATACAAATTTCCTTGCATGTTATGATAGAAACAGGAACTCTACTTGCTTCTTACATTTGCYCAATATTGCACGACACAATTTTAGATTCATAATGGCACTTAAAAAATAGACATWTAATATCCCATCTTTTGCTAATTCAACCTCAACGTTTCACTCAAGCAAACACATCCGARTTATGGTCCCAGGATTCCTCCCCTGTGGAACATTAATGTCTTGACAGTATCTCATGACAATCAGTCCACAAGGCAATGAAACCAACCATCTCATCAGCATCCAAAGAGTCGTAACATCTGTGAGGCTAAAAATAAAGTACCAGACCCACTGATTAGCTGCAAGCTATGATTAGCTTAGATTCCCCCCCCAGCCTCACCATATCAATCTTTCACGTAGCAGCTGTGCTTAAACAAAATTAGTAACGGGTTTAGCTGTCTTTGCAGCATGTATTGCTCACAAAGCCCAGCGGGTTTAGCCTAGTGTTTCCATCATGAACGTCAAGYGCTCAAGTATGCTTCTCCAAAGGCAGTTTGAGGTCCAAATTAAAGAATGAACTCTTTAAGAAGTGTGAGATGATGACACAGTTTGATCCACGTGGAGATGA